TTCCGAGGGGAGTCGAACCCCCGTCTTTCTCGGATTGGCAGTCGCATTCGAACGCTGCGAGAATGACCGCCCGCTGGTCGACGACGGCAGACTGGTCACGAGTCTAGGCTGTTGGCGCTGCGACTGGAATGAAACGGAATTAGACTCCTGGCGTGGGCATACGGCGTCATGGAGTAGTACGTGAACCATTCGCGAAGCGCATCATATCATTGCAAGTAGACAAAAAAAACGACAGCAACAGGGATTACCCACGGTCCAAGCCTGAATCGAATGGGCATCATTGTATCTATGGAAGTACAAGAGAGTTGGAATGAAGGCGGGGCAGGTCGAAGGCGGCTGTTGTAATTTTTGGAGCGGTACCAGCGGATGCGCCCGTAGCGTAGCACGGGTAACTGCTAGTGTATCATAATGCTAGGTGTATCGAGGCGCTCTGGGACCTTTGATCATGTATTGGAGTTTGAATCGTGCGTGCTTCCCGACAGATTCTTGGCAATTATTTGAACCTCATGATCTGTCAGTTCTGAAGGGTACACCATCAATTGTGTGGCGGCGACGGCGGCGGCACCGTCAGGGGATTCGCTGATTCTGGCCAGGGCAGAGAGTGCTGCTGTGCGTACCAGGACACAGTTCGAAATAAAGTCAAAAGTTCCGGTGGTGCGTCTGGCTTGTATGAACACAACTTCGCACGTTTTAGAGAGACGCTCACTGCATGACGGACACCAACTGTGGGCAGGGCTCAACAGCCAGGATTGCAGGCACAATGGCTTCATGGCGTGCTAGCTCTCCCAGTATCTTACAGGTCCAAAGGCAGACCATCGCGTTTGGGGACTCGAGCAGTTCTTCCACGTAGTCGAGCACCTTTGCGTCGACGGCAGACTGGACCCCCGCTTCAACTTTGGCGATCCAAGACAGTGCCTTCGCGGACCTTTCAACCACGACCGGATCTTGGTCACTGACTGAAATAAGCACCGTCTTCGGAGATTGCAACCAATTGAGACGCACCGTAGGAGGGATACAAGCTGCGCGCAAGGTTTTACACGCAAGACACGGTCCCTCGTGGCCTGGTGACATGCTGCCTTTGCCAGCAACTCGCACGTCCATACTTTCACCCCAGTGTTTGGTGAATCAAGGAGTTCAACGACACAGTCCAATAGATGTGCGTCCACGACAGCCTGCGCACCTTCGGGCGATGTCGCAATCGAATCCAGTAATTTGACTGCACCCTCTACGACATCAGAATTGTCGTGACTGATGTCAACATCAGGATCTGCTCAAGAAAGAAAACGTTGGTGACAAACCGAAGGAGGACTATCAGCTGCTCCAGGACAAATTTCGTCATTGATGGCGATGCCGCAATCGAATCCAGTAATTTGGCTGCACTCTCTACGACATCAGAATTGTCGTGACTGATCTCAACATCAGCATCTGCTGAAGGAAGAAAACGATGGAGACTAACCGCAGGAGGAATATCAGCTGCTCCAGGGCAAGCTTCACCATCGACGGCTGGTCTGTCAGGATACGATACAGCGTGTCTGTGGCGCGCTTGGTCACTGTGGGAATTCTGCCCCAACGCAAAATCAACAGCAAGAGCAAATGGATTAAATTCAGACTCACCGACAGAGGGATACTATCTCGCAAATGGCGGCGCTGGTCGTGCTTTCCCGGCGAACCAATTCTTCCAGCAGGTTCCACGTCCACCTCTGGATCAACGCGTTCCGGGATTCAGCGAGGACGGGCAGATATTCAAATACATTTGCGTCCACGGCAGCCTGCGCACCTGCAGACGATTTGGAAGTCTGCCACAACCTGTGGGCTGCACCTTGAACAAGTCTGACATCGTCGCCGCTAAAGAAAATCAACATCTGGCTGCTAACCAGATCGTCGAGACTCACCGAATAAGTGATACCATCTGCTCCACTGCGGCTCTCATAGTGATGTCATGGCCCGCCGACTCGTCGAGAAGGCTCCACGTCCACTTCCGGACCCCGGCAGCCGGCGATTCAAGGAGATCTGGCACACATTGCAGCACATTGGTGTCCAAGATAGCCTGCGCGCCTTCGGACGATCCAGTTGACTGACATAATATCCTAGCCGCGTTCTCGACGACTTTGGGATGCTGGCTCCTAAACGAAGATTAACGCAGTTCCGTTCATGGTGGTTGAAGCTTACCGCAAAAGAGACGCAATATGGCCCACTGCTGCCTCTGCCGTCGTTGGGTGGCGCACCAGCTCTCTGAGCATATCGCACGTCCATTTCCGGACCCCAGTGCTCGGCAATTGAAGCAGTGTATGCACATAATCGAGCACATTTGCGTCCATGGCAGCGCGCGCACCACCTGGTGATGTAGAAATCGAACTGAGTGCTTTTGCCGCACTTTCCACGACCTCGGAATTTTCGTGCCTGAGTTCAAAATAAGTATTTAGGCATCCAACCAAAATGTAGGGCTCACCGGCAGAGCACTACCAGATGCGCTGATACAACCGCCATTGTGGCCGGTTCGTCTGCCAATATTTTCAGCATCTCACACGTCCACTCCCGCATTTGGCTGTCGTCAAGCAATGGGGCCACGGCATCAAGGATATTCCCAGCGACCAGTGCCTGGGCGCCTAGTGGAAAAGTGATGATGTGATCCACGACGTTGGCGGCGCGCTTGGTCACTGTAATATTCCTGCTCCTACCAGGGATTAATACTTCCTATAAGGCACGGTGGTCCAGACTCACCTCAAGAGGGATACAATTGCACCCGTGGCCGCTCGAGCAGTGGTATCATGGCTTACGAGCTCCCCCATGATCTCACGAGGCCACTTCTGGACCTTTTCATCCGGGGTTTCAAGGAGCTTGGCAAAGCAGTCGAACACTTTGGCATCCGCGATGGCCTGCGCGCCCTCGGCGCATTTGGCAATCGAGGATAGGGTCTCCGCGGCACCCATGACGACTTCGATATTTATGGCCCTGGTTTCAAGTGGTGACGGCCGGCGTGTGAGCGAGAGGGTGGGGACTCACGACAAGAGGGACACCAGCTGCTGACATGGATTCCAACGCAAGACAGCTGGTATTGCTGTCTCGCGTTGTGCCAGCAGTCCCAGGATCCGGCACATCGACTTGCAGATCGCTATGTCCGATGAGCTTAGGAATTCATCGGCCAGCTGTAGGACAAATGAATCCGCTACGGCGCGTGCATCATCCTCAGATTCGAGTCTTGTCTCGAGTTCAAGTAGAATTGCGGTCTTGGTGGACGACGACACATATTTATAACTACGAGATCGGTCAGCCGCAGGAGGTGCAGAAAGAATGAAGAAAATGTACGCCAGATAGCTTGAATAAATGACCACATCCTCGCTTGAGGGGAATCCCGCGATTCTTGGCGATGAGGGCCAGTGCGTCGCGTCGATACATAAATCTCATCAATGGCTTCGCGGCGGCATGGAGATCGATCGTCGGACCCACTGGGTTCCTATCTGACCACCAGCTGTACAGACTGTCTCGGGTCGGCTGGCGAGTCAATGGGTGGTGCATGGCCGGGGAGATGATACTGAGTGGGAAGAGAGTGGGCGTCTCGTGGTCAGCCAGACTGTGTTTATGCCGGCATAGCCCAACATGCCTGTCATAATGCTGTGGTACTGTTGGAGATTGGGCGATCGGCCGCCATCAGTCAGCCCGAGGTTTCTCACTCAGCAACTGAAGGACTCGGAAGTAAGTAGAATATTCTAGATAAAATACTAATAGGTATATAAGCTGTAGTAGTTAGTCCCTAGCTCCCTACGAGTTTTTACCCAGTCGCCTAACAGCGCAAGTGTCAAGCTTAACAGCTCTCGGCTAAATAATCAACAAAACTCGTCAGCTTGCACTTTCCCACCGCGTCTCGGTTCCAGGAGACACACCCCGAAGCCGCGCTCATCGTAGAGCCCGCACCCGAAGCCGCGCTTGAAGAAGCCCGCATCCGAAGTCGTGTCTCAGGAGGAGACCCGCATCGAAGTCGCGCCTAGGTTAGGCCCGCAGTGAAGTCGCATCTCCGTGGGAGATCCGCATTGAAGTCGCGCCAGGTTTGGCCCGCAGTGAAGTCGCGCCTCGGAGAGGCCCGCACCCCGGATTGAAGTCGCGCTTTAGGATATAAAGCCCGCAGGTTTCTGATATGGGATCAGAAAAGTTCGACAAGTTAAATGACTCCGGCAACTATGACATGTGGGCGTACCGCATGGAGATGCTGTTGGAAAAGATGGATTTATGGGAATTGGTTGACGGATCAGCGGAGCCGCCAGCTGCTGCACCATGGACCGCAGCGATGAAGAAGTGGGAGAAGAGGAAGAGGTTGGCCAAGGCAGAGATTGATGTAGTGCTTTGGGGATTAGTGCCTCAGATGTACTAATTTAAACTGCCCAGGAAAGCACTTATTCCCAAAGCACTACATATTAGTGCTAAAATGCGAAAATTAGTGCCTAGGCACTAATATGTAGTGCTTTTACTGTTCACAGTGAGGACCTATCGGTTGTAATCCTCTCAGAAATATGGACCTGCGGTGTCGTCGCAGCGGGAAAATGTTCAGATTGGCTTCATCCTGGGGACCATGTTGTGTGGCCTGCGATTGGGAAGGAACAATATTATACTCCTGGCGCGGGCATCTGGTGTCATGGAGCAAGGCCCGAACCATGATGGGAGGCGCATCATATCACTGCAGGTAAACCAAAAAACGACAGCAAGAGGGATTGCCCACGGTCCAAGCCCGAGTCGAACGGGCGTCTCCTGCACGGAATTTCTACGCGATGTGCTTAGACGACGCAGGTGCGGGCCACTCCGTAATTGGACCATGCTGGTATGGCAAACGACCTGGTTAGATGCCTGAGTTTTTCACATTCATTCAAGGCGGAGGCATACGTCCATATTCTGCGACGATCCAATGCGGATTATGACTGCGACGACTGAAGGGAGAGGAACGCGGGGATGCATCAATGTGGATTCCCTGAAGCAGAGTGGTCAAGAAAAAAGAACAATCTCAAACCTCATGGTCCAAGCCCGAATCGAACGGGCGTATCCTGCACGTGCAATCAGCTCGAACTGTGGCAACACATGTACTGCAGGCGCGGGCCACTCCGCAATTGGACCTGGATACTATGCACCGGAAGCTGAATAGCTGGGTTGATGTCGATGATGGGGAGGGAGTAGCGGAAGCAGGAGGCCTTGAGGAGAGCCTGAATGAACGGACAAATGTGAACATGAACACGCACATGTGGATTGGTCTCATTGCCTTCATTGAGTGCTATATGACCGTAATTTTCCTTGGGTGAGACATTCGCGGGAATAAGAGTGCGAATGTCACGGAACCTCAGTCGTTATCCCGATGCGGCGACGGGCGAACACGCCTGTTGATAGATCTGGATTTCATTGCTACATGAGGCGTTGACGGGGAAAATGTGCGGCAAAAAATCCGAGCGCTAGTTGATCGCGGCGGGCGCGGAAAATACGCACACAGTGGGAATGCCTGTTTGAAATACCAGCACTGGCATGACTTTAGCCTGAGTCGAACAGGATCCGTACGACAGGATGCATGTGCGCGCCGCCCCGCAATTACACTGTGCATACCTTCAACCCCCGTCTTCCTCGGTGGTACTCGCGGGTGGTCAACGAGAGCTTGGGCACTCCGCGGATCCAGACAGAGCAGAAAGAGACGCAGAGAGTACAAAGAGACGCAGCATGGAAAAGAAAAAAACACCAGGGACAATGGAAATACCGTCAGGGGGGACTCGAACGCCCGGCTTCCTCGGATGTCATACTTCAAGGATGACCGTCCACCCGTCGATGACGGCTTGCTGTCGTGTGAATACACGTAGCGAAGCGTGCCAGGGTAGGACGGGGTGAAAATACCCAGGCAATCAAATGCACGAGACGGACCGGGAAGGGACGAGAGCCAAGAATCAACGTGCCCCGGACTAGCGAGGTCGGGCATGCACGGCGGCGACGCATGCCGCAGGGAGAGCGCGCGGCAACCAGACGTGAGGTAAGATCGCACGCGCCGCTGATGTGTCACGAGCGCACGCGCCGCGAAATGGCGTGCACACCGAGCGGAGCGGGAGCCGCGGAAAGGCACATTGAGGGGGTCCGCGCAGGAGGGAGGCACAACGAGAGGGGCACAGAACAGGACATGCTGGAGTGCGCAGCGCCCCGGTGCTTGATGGCTAAGGGGCGGGGGCAGCAGGGGTATTGGGCGCTGTACGTAGGGCGAGGGTAGCACGCGAATACAGAATGCTACTCGCCTCTGTAGAACGAACACAGGCGCCGGTACGAGCACGTACAGAGCACCACCATCGTGCGCACGCACGGCAGCGCAGTGCCCGGTGAGCCATGAGTTAAGGTACGGGGCAAGATAGTACGTGGCCCAGATGCGCTACAAATGCACCCCGCGCGAAGTGGCGACCGAATGTACTCCTAACCCCCGGGTGTAGGAAGCAGGACTGCAGCGAGCGCGCGGCGACCCGAGAGGAGGGATGCGAGAGCGTATACGTAGGAGATGCGGAACGCATGTGGCGCGAAGTGGCGGGCACGCCGAGCGGCCGGGGAGCTGCTGGGAGCGATCCAAAAACAGTGCGCTCAAGAGACAAGCCCGACGAGACAGAGAACGCGCAAGCTAGCGGCGCCGCTAGCAGAAGAGGCGCGCGCGAGTCCAGGCACATTAACCCCATTCCTAGGCCGCCGGCTGGTGGGGCTGGCACAGCCGAATGAAATATAGAATATATGGACGCACCCACCCAGAAACATGGACCCAAAATCGACCGGACGAGACGTTGCGTGCGGGCCTTGACCTTGCACAGCACCCAGCGCACATCCTCGCCCATACCACAAGACACGTGAAAGCGCTGCAGCGGGAAAGCACCCTCGATGCCGCCAGAAGAGCTCTTGAGCACGTTAGGGACGCTGAATTTAGGCGCAGGGAGCTGGGATACCACGAACTGGCGACGCGCGAGAAGCCCGTGAACGAGATGGTGGTGGGAAGGAAGCAGGGCTCGGTTTGATCCGCACACATTTTTCCACGTGGGCAATGAATGACATGAGGGTGATGTGTCAGGTTTTGTTCGATTCGCACATATGCGCCCGACGTCTGACGCCACCGGTGCCCAGTCCCAGTCAGAGCGGAAATATCAATAAAACCCTACTGGTCGGAAAAAAAATTGCGACAACGCTGCCACCACACAACGTTCATGTTGGCTTGATCCTGGTTGTTAGTGCTGCGACTGGGATGGAACGAAATTAGACTTCTGGCGCGGGCATACGGCGTCATTGGACTGGGCGCGAGCTAGTTGCGAGGCGCATCATATCACTGCCGGCAAACCAAAAAATGAAAACAACAGGGATTACCCACGGGCCAAGCCCAAGCCGAACGGGCGTACCCTGCATTTAGCAGCGAATTTTCAAGATTGTAATGTCGTCGCTGCATTGACTGCGCTGGTGGGCGAATAACACGTTACACGAAGCGCCCCCTCCGCGATTGGAAGTTCCCAGTCCTCAGAAGCACCTGAATTGGTGGACGTGACGGATGCATGAGTGCCTGTACAAGCGAAGGCCTACGATTTTTCCGTGACTGGGACGCAAGTGAGGTTAATTGCGGGCATGAATAATAACTACAGTGCACGCATTGGGCATCGCCAAATTGAATGTCGGTGAAGTCATACCAGCGATTCAATGAAAAGACAGACCCGGACTCGAGGATGGGTTGGTTTATGCAGAACCCAAATTGCAGCCGAAACAGGTGCCGAAATGCAATCGAAATGACTGGATTCGGCAAGGCTTTCAAGTGCACAGGAATTGGTTGTTTCGGAGTGGACTTTCACCATGCCTAGGAAGCCGCTCCTGAGCCTTTGAGTTTCTAACAACCAGTTTCCGTGGCATTTGTGGCTTGACCGACGAAAGAGGGATATTGCCATAGGCAGCACGACCTCTGATGCTGAAAAGTTTCGGAGCACCGCCAATTGTTGCGAATGCTGAAATTTCGGCATCATGCAGAGCTCCCGCTCTGGGGGCTTTAGACTTATATGCAGCTTGTGGTGCGAAAGCGATGGGGAAACATCCGGGTAAGGGATGACTTCCCGTAGTTGAGCATATAATCGAGACGAAAATCACAAAATGATAAATTCTTGAAATGAGACCTGGAACCTAAATTGGTACCAGGAAAAGAAATCTTTCCTCCGACACGGTTCAAACCCGGTTCGAACGGGCGTTTCCCGGGTCAACACAAAGCGCGAACCACTCCCCGACTGGACCGGAATATGCCACCGCATAGATGGGGCGATATCGGAGAGATGACGGCGGATGCGAATGGTTCGAACTCAAGCCGTGACCCGGGGATTCTGTGGGCTTCAGCGAGGGTGGACCAGCTCCGGAAAACCGGATTCACGGCCAGTAGAAAGGCACGCTGCAGCCACACGCTGCGAGAGTGATCGTCCGCTGGTCGATGACGGCTTCTTATTCGTACATTCACATCGCAAAGTCGGACTGAACCAGACACTGAGAGCAAAAGCAGACGCCCCTAGTATCCATGCATCGGAATAGCCCCACAGGCGGCCTGTGCATATCTCTTCGCAATTGGGCCTGAAACAATCCAGCTCTCACCCGCTGGGACTAGTACTTGGCTCACAAGACACGCGGCATCACTTGTAGATTTGTTCGTCCTCCAGTATCAATACATTTTACATGAGAGATACATCTGAAAAATCACTCAATAGCTAGGAAATGACCTACAGAAAACTAGTGCTTTCATATAATTCAACTGCCTTATCCTCCCAGGTTTCTCGCTCTTCACTTGGTGACTTCTCGGCCAAATCCATTGTGTCCGGACGGAACCTTGGTGCTTTCAGAGCTGAAGACGAGCGAAGGGTCCTCCATGGTCTCTCGAAAGAGTGGCAAGTTGTCCATCGATCTGAGCAATCTGGTATGCCTGCGATGACCGTGCAAATAATGGTCTGGCGATTGTCCAATGCTCTGCCGCCTTCATTTCATCCCCGGCTAGTTTCGCAATATTCCCGAGACGAACCAGGCATTCTGCTCGGCTGCGGTGAACATCCATCTGAGTAAATGCTTCCAGAGCAACAGTTAACAAACTACTTGCTGTTTGGTGGTCCCCGCCTTCCAGAACGACATCCCCAAGAAATTGGAGAGCTTTGTGTATTTCCAGCTTCTGCTTGAATTTCAGGCTATGAACCAGGAATATAACTGGCCAATCATATGAATGATACATAGTTGGCCAGAGAGCGGGATTCCCCAGTCGTTCCAAACAGTAGCTGACAATCTCAGTGTATTTTCCCCAAGCAGATTCAAGACAGGTGCGGAATAAGCTGGTCGCCTTGAGCGTGTCCCCCTCATTCACAGCAAACGCTGCTGTGATCATATCACATACAAGAAGTCCTATTGAATACCCCACGACGGCCAAAACTTGGTTGCCTATGTCAAGATTTCTCTGCACTTCATCTCCTGATGCACCCCGTTCCACATCAATCTGTGCAATGTTGAGCACATCCAAGGCATGCTGAAACTGAATTTGTTCAATGGAGGAATTGCGTGCAAGCTGAGTGCGGATCTTGTGGGCCTCCACATATTCGGATTTCAGCATGTGAACTTCGGCCTGACAGCCAACAATGAAATTATCCAGTTCACCACCAGATAAACCACAAAGAGCAAGTAGATCCCTGGCCCTTTTGAGTAGTGGGATGGTACGGTTATAGTTCCCCAGGGCATACCAACACATCGATTCAAGTCGGATCCCCCAGGCCTCACGAAATAACTCTCCAGAAATCCTAGCGAGCCTTCGGGACTCATATGCATGGACACTCCCTTTGGCATACTCTCCAGTGATCCACTGAATCCATGCCAATACAGCTAGTAGGTCACACTGTCTTTTTGTGTTCCCAGTTGCAATTGCCAATGAGAGTCCAGTTTGAGCATAGTAGCTCGCTTTTGAAATGTTGGTAGGTAACCAGAATGCTGCTAGAATGTCAAAAAATCTGCCTGCAAGATACATCAGTAATTAATCCAATGATTGACATATGACCTACATTGCAGATCTGAATCATTAAAGTGCTGGCAGTATTCAAGAGCTTGGTCAATTAGATGTTGTG